CCACCCTGCCTGGACCATGGTCCCCAGAGGTCTCCGAGCTCTTTCCTTAACCTCCAGCTGCGGGTGCCCTGGTGCCAGGCATGCGTTGCTGAGGCCCCCGGTTGCATGGGTTGCCACTGCCACGCTGTTTTCCCCTGTGGCCCTGTGCCCTTGGGCCCAGAAGGGAGGCCGAGCGCCAGCAGTGGTGGCTGCTGAGGACCCGGGCCCCTCGGTCCTGCCCTGAGGCCCAGCAGCGCTCACCTCACTTCTTCCCCGTCCTGTCTCCTCAGGGCCAGGTCCGTGGCCCACATTTTCCCACAGAACGCCCGTGCCTACAAGGCTGCAGAAGTGCTGCATGACTGGGCCCCAGAGGCCAGCCCCATGCGCGTGGTCCCCAGCCCTAGCACAGCTGTAGAGGCACCACTGAGCTCGGCCGAGCCGGTGGAAGGTGAGTCATGTCATGGGATGCCGTGGGGCTGCTGCTCGTTCACGCATGGCTCCTGTGGTGTCCAGAGCCCCAGGACACGCCCCGAGCCTGTTGTGGGCCCAGGCGGGCATTGTTGGTGCTGGTGGCTGGAAGTTGTTCCCAAATCCCTCACCCTCTCGCGTGGCCCCTTTAGCCCTGACCTCCAGGGTGCGATGCCTGGCTGGAACGAGGTGGTGAGGCAAGGGTAGTTCCCTGGGCAATATGGAGCCGGATTCCTGACCTTGGCCAGGAGCGGGCGTGACCAGAAACCATGGGCTTGTGATTGAAGGGTCGACCCGTGCATGAGAATAGCTGCAGATGTGCCGTGCAACCGGCCCCATTTGCAGTGCCCGTGTGTGTACCCCAAGAGGGCTTGCCAGCTTGCCAAGGCTACGGGTTCCTGGAGTGTCCAGCACCAGGCCCGCTGTGGACGGAGGGCGGGAGGGAGGAAAGGAGGGCACTGCAGGCTTTGAGAGGCCATGTGGCCAGCCATCGGTGCCAGGTTGTGCAGCATGTGGGGGGCAGGTGCCCAGGCAGACTGAGGCATGAGCTGAGGGCATGGGTCTTCCATGGCTGCTGGGGCTAGCTCGTTGTGGACCCTCACGTGCGTTGGTCTCACTGAGGCTACCTTGCCCCTGCTTTACAGTGGACACCGTCGCCGCCTCCGATGGGCAACAGGCTGGCAATGACCAAAAGGCAACAGTGGGCACAGGCCGCACCGAGGTGGAGCCCGGGTAAGTGTGTGTGTGTGTGTGGCAGTGGCTGTGGCCATGAAACATGGCTGGCCAGGCCTGAGTGGAATGTGGGGTGTCCCAGGTGCCATTGGAGGAGGCGGCAGGCTGGGCTGTGGAAGGCTGGTTCCTGGTGTTCCAGGAAGGTTGCATTCTGCCCCTGCACTCCAACTCTGCTATGGTCAGGGCCCGCCAGGTCTGTAGAGGCTTTGGCACTGTGCCTTGCCAAGAGCTGTCCCTGGTGCTGGCTGTCAGCCATTTGTGTAGAAGCCCCCTGGGGTGCTGCCTGTGTGCCTCTGGGTCCTGCTGGGTCCTGGGAGCGCAGGGGCCAGAGATCAACCGCCTCGTGGGTTGTGCGTGGTGCCCCACCTCCGTGAGGCCCCATGAAAGGAGTACCCCATTGCAGTCTCTGTTTTGGTGCTGGGCAAAGTGTGGGTGTAGGATGTGTGTTGTTGCTGCGGCAGCTGGTGCAGCCAGCGTCGGGGACAGAGAGCGAGCAGAGAGAAAGGTGGCCAGGGCAGCCCGTGGCGTGTTTGGTGGTGGGGACCGCCAGGGCCAGGCTCATGGAAGTGTCCCAGGCCTAGCATACCAGCACCTTGGTGTTGACCAGCATGCACGGGCTTGCTTCTAACCGGACCCTGACTGAATGCAAGCGGGAGAGAGCAGGGCCTTGGGGTGGGCGGTGAGATGGGGTCCTCTGCTGCAGAACCAGCCTCCTGCACGGCCCCCCCACCTCCTGCATGTCCCCACACGGTCCCAGCACCACCCTGCCTGGACCATGGTCCCCAGAGGTCTCCGAGCTCTTTCCTTAACCTCCAGCTGCGGGTGCCCTGGTGCCAGGCATGCGTTGCTGAGGCCCCCGGTTGCATGGGTTGCCACTGCCACGCTGTTTTCCCCTGTGGCCCTGTGCCCTTGGGCCCAGAAGGGAGGCCGAGCGCCAGCAGTGGTGGCTGCTGAGGACCCGGGCCCCTCGGTCCTGCCCTGAGGCCCAGCAGCGCTCACCTCACTTCTTCCCCGTCCTGTCTCCTCAGGGCCAGGTCCGTGGCCCACATTTTCCCACAGAACGCCCGTGCCTACAAGGCTGCAGAAGTGCTGCATGACTGGGCCCCAGAGGCCAGCCCCATGCGCGTGGTCCCCAGCCCTAGCACAGCTGTAGAGGCACCACTGAGCTCGGCCGAGCCGGTGGAAGGTGAGTCATGTCATGGGATGCCGTGGGGCTGCTCGTTCACGCATGGCTCCTGTGGCGTCCAGAGCCCCAGGACACGCCCCGAGCCTGTTGTGGGCCCAGGCGGGCATTGTTGGTGCTGGTGGCTGGAAGTTGTTCCCAAATCCCTCACCCTCTCGCGTGGCCCCTTTAGCCCTGACCTCCAGGGTGCGATGCCTGGCTGGAACGAGGTGGTGAGGCAAGGGTAGTTCCCTGGGCAATATGGAGCCGGATTCCTGACCTTGGCCAGGAGCGGGCGTGACCAGAAACCATGGGCTTGTGATTGAACGGTCGACCCGTGCATGAGAATAGCTGCAGATGTGCCGTGCAACCGGCCCCATTTGCAGTGCCCGTGTGTGTACCCCAAGAGGGCTTGCCAGCTTGCCAAGGCTACGGGTTCCTGGAGTGTCCAGCACCAGGCCCGCTGTGGACGGAGGGCGGGAGGGAGGAAAGGAGGGCACTGCAGGCTTTGAGAGGCCATGTGGCCAGCCATCGGTGCCAGGTTGTGCAGCATGTGGGGGGCAGGTGCCCAGGCAGACTGAGGCATGAGCTGAGGGCATGGGTCTTCCATGGCTGCTGGGGCTAGCTCGTTGTGGACCCTCACGTGCGTTGGTCTCACTGAGGCTACCTTGCCCCTGCTTTACAGTGGACACCGTCGCCGCCTCCGATGGGCAACAGGCTGGCAATGACCAAAAGGCAACAGTGGGCACAGGCCGCACCGAGGTGGAGCCCGGGTAAGTGTGTGTGTGTGTGTGGCAGTGGCTGTGGCCATGAAACATGGCTGGCCAGGCCTGAGTGGAATGTGGGGTGTCCCAGGTGCCATTGGAGGAGGCGGCAGGCTGGGCTGTGGAAGGCTGGTTCCTGGTGTTCCAGGAAGGTTGCATTCTGCCCCTGCACTCCAACTCTGCTATGGTCAGGGCCCGCCAGGTCTGTAGAGGCTTTGGCACTGTGCCTTGCCAAGAGCTGTCCCTGGTGCTGGCTGTCAGCCATTTGTGTAGAAGCCCCCTGGGGTGCTGCCTGTGTGCCTCTGGGTCCTGCTGGGTCCTGGGAGCGCAGGGGCCAGAGATCAACCGCCTCGTGGGTTGTGCGTGGTGCCCCACCTCCGTGAGGCCCCATGAAAGGAGTACCCCATTGCAGTCTCTGTTTTGGTGCTGGGCAAAGTGTGGGTGTAGGATGTGTGTTGTTGCTGCGGCAGCTGGTGCAGCCAGCGTCGGGGACAGAGAGCGAGCAGAGAGAAAGGTGGCCAGGGCAGCCCGTGGCGTGTTTGGTGGTGGGGACCGCCAGGGCCAGGCTCATGGAAGTGTCCCAGGCCTAGCATACCAGCACCTTGGTGTTGACCAGCATGCACGGGCTTGCTTCTAACCGGACCCTGACTGAATGCAAGCGGGAGAGAGCAGGGCCTTGGGGTGGGCGGTGAGATGGGGTCCTCTGCTGCAGAACCAGCCTCCTGCACGGCCCCCCCACCTCCTGCATGTCCCCACACGGTCCCAGCACCACCCTGCCTGGACCATGGTCCCCAGAGGTCTCCGAGCTCTTTCCTTAACCTCCAGCTGCGGGTGCCCTGGTGCCAGGCATGCGTTGCTGAGGCCCCCGGTTGCATGGGTTGCCACTGCCACGCTGTTTTCCCCTGTGGCCCTGTGCCCTTGGGCCCAGAAGGGAGGCCGAGCGCCAGCAGTGGTGGCTGCTGAGGACCCGGGCCCCTCGGTCCTGCCCTGAGGCCCAGCAGCGCTCACCTCACTTCTTCCCCGTCCTGTCTCCTCAGGGCCAGGTCCGTGGCCCACATTTTCCCACAGAACGCCCGTGCCTACAAGGCTGCAGAAGTGCTGCATGACTGGGCCCCAGAGGCCAGCCCCATGCGCGTGGTCCCCAGCCCTAGCACAGCTGTAGAGGCACCACTGAGCTCGGCCGAGCCGGTGGAAGGTGAGTCATGTCATGGGATGCCGTGGGGCTGCTCGTTCACGCATGGCTCCTGTGGCGTCCAGAGCCCCAGGACACGCCCCGAGCCTGTTGTGGGCCCAGGCGGGCATTGTTGGTGCTGGTGGCTGGAAGTTGTTCCCAAATCCCTCACCCTCTCGCGTGGCCCCTTTAGCCCTGACCTCCAGGGTGCGATGCCTGGCTGGAACGAGGTGGTGAGGCAAGGGTAGTTCCCTGGGCAATATGGAGCCGGATTCCTGACCTTGGCCAGGAGCGGGCGTGACCAGAAACCATGGGCTTGTGATTGAACGGTCGACCCGTGCATGAGAATAGCTGCAGATGTGCCGTGCAACCGGCCCCATTTGCAGTGCCCGTGTGTGTACCCCAAGAGGGCTTGCCAGCTTGCCAAGGCTACGGGTTCCTGGAGTGTCCAGCACCAGGCCCGCTGTGGACGGAGGGCGGGAGGGAGGAAAGGAGGGCACTGCAGGCTTTGAGAGGCCATGTGGCCAGCCATCGGTGCCAGGTTGTGCAGCATGTGGGGGGCAGGTGCCCAGGCAGACTGAGGCATGAGCTGAGGGCATGGGTCTTCCATGGCTGCTGGGGCTAGCTCGTTGTGGACCCTCACGTGCGTTGGTCTCACTGAGGCTACCTTGCCCCTGCTTTACAGTGGACACCGTCGCCGCCTCCGATGGGCAACAGGCTGGCAATGACCAAAAGGCAACAGTGGGCACAGGCCGCACCGAGGTGGAGCCCGGGTAAGTGTGTGTGTGTGTGTGGCAGTGGCTGTGGCCATGAAACATGGCTGGCCAGGCCTGAGTGGAATGTGGGGTGTCCCAGGTGCCATTGGAGGAGGCGGCAGGCTGGGCTGTGGAAGGCTGGTTCCTGGTGTTCCAGGAAGGTTGCATTCTGCCCCTGCACTCCAACTCTGCTATGGTCAGGGCCCGCCAGGTCTGTAGAGGCTTTGGCACTGTGCCTTGCCAAGAGCTGTCCCTGGTGCTGGCTGTCAGCCATTTGTGTAGAAGCCCCCTGGGGTGCTGCCTGTGTGCCTCTGGGTCCTGCTGGGTCCTGGGAGCGCAGGGGCCAGAGATCAACCGCCTCGTGGGTTGTGCGTGGTGCCCCACCTCCGTGAGGCCCCATGAAAGGAGTACCCCATTGCAGTCTCTGTTTTGGTGCTGGGCAAAGTGTGGGTGTAGGATGTGTGTTGTTGCTGCGGCAGCTGGTGCAGCCAGCGTCGGGGACAGAGAGCGAGCAGAGAGAAAGGTGGCCAGGGCAGCCCGTGGCGTGTTTGGTGGTGGGGACCGCCAGGGCCAGGCTCATGGAAGTGTCCCAGGCCTAGCATACCAGCACCTTGGTGTTGACCAGCATGCACGGGCTTGCTTCTAACCGGACCCTGACTGAATGCAAGCGGGAGAGAGCAGGGCCTTGGGGTGGGCGGTGAGATGGGGTCCTCTGCTGCAGAACCAGCCTCCTGCACGGCCCCCCCACCTCCTGCATGTCCCCACACGGTCCCAGCACCACCCTGCCTGGACCATGGTCCCCAGAGGTCTCCGAGCTCTTTCCTTAACCTCCAGCTGCGGGTGCCCTGGTGCCAGGCATGCGTTGCTGAGGCCCCCGGTTGCATGGGTTGCCACTGCCACGCTGTTTTCCCCTGTGGCCCTGTGCCCTTGGGCCCAGAAGGGAGGCCGAGCGCCAGCAGTGGTGGCTGCTGAGGACCCGGGCCCCTCGGTCCTGCCCTGAGGCCCAGCAGCGCTCACCTCACTTCTTCCCCGTCCTGTCTCCTCAGGGCCAGGTCCGTGGCCCACATTTTCCCACAGAACGCCCGTGCCTACAAGGCTGCAGAAGTGCTGCATGACTGGGCCCCAGAGGCCAGCCCCATGCGCGTGGTCCCCAGCCCTAGCACAGCTGTAGAGGCACCACTGAGCTCGGCCGAGCCGGTGGAAGGTGAGTCATGTCATGGGATGCCGTGGGGGCTGCTCGTTCACGCATGGCTCCTGTGGCGTCCAGAGCCCCAGGACACGCCCCGAGCCTGTTGTGGGCCCAGGCGGGCATTGTTGGTGCTGGTGGCTGGAAGTTGTTCCCAAATCCCTCACCCTCTCGCGTGGCCCCTTTAGCCCTGACCTCCAGGGTGCGATGCCTGGCTGGAACGAGGTGGTGAGGCAAGGGTAGTTCCCTGGGCAATATGGAGCCGGATTCCTGACCTTGGCCAGGAGCGGGCGTGACCAGAAACCATGGGCTTGTGATTGAACGGTCGACCCGTGCATGAGAATAGCTGCAGATGTGCCGTGCAACCGGCCCCATTTGCAGTGCCCGTGTGTGTACCCCAAGAGGGCTTGCCAGCTTGCCAAGGCTACGGGTTCCTGGAGTGTCCAGCACCAGGCCCGCTGTGGACGGAGGGCGGGAGGGAGGAAAGGAGGGCACTGCAGGCTTTGAGAGGCCATGTGGCCAGCCATCGGTGCCAGGTTGTGCAGCATGTGGGGGGCAGGTGCCCAGGCAGACTGAGGCATGAGCTGAGGGCATGGGTCTTCCATGGCTGCTGGGGCTAGCTCGTTGTGGACCCTCACGTGCGTTGGTCTCACTGAGGCTACCTTGCCCCTGCTTTACAGTGGACACCGTCGCCGCCTCCAATGGGCAACAGGCTGGCAATGACCAAAAGGCAACAGTGGGCACAGGCCGCACCGAGGTGGAGCTCGGGTAAGTGTGTGTGTGTGTGTGGCAGTGGCTGTGGCCATGAAACATGGCTGGCCAGGCCTGAGTGGAATGTGGGGTGTCTCAGGTGTCAGTGTTTAGGGGCCGTTGGAATTTGCTACTCAATGCCGAAAGTGTGTTTTGAAAGTTGGATTGTAGACCTGCATGGCTCCTCTGGTTGGGTGGGCACCGCTGACCTCCAGAGCCCTTGGCAGGCTGCCTCCCCGAGAGCCCCGTCCGTGGCCGTCAGCCATGGTCTTGAAGAGCCCTGGGGCCTTCCATGTCTTGCCTGTGTCCCACAGGATCCTGGGATCAGGACCCCTTGTGGGGCATCCTTACTGTCACATCTCCATGCATGTGTTGTGTGCAAGTAGGCGGTGAAGCCCGTAGCAGTGTGTATGTTAGTGCCCGGGGAAGTGTGGGTGAAGGATGTCATTATGCGAGTAGCTGGTGTGGCCGGCATGTGTCCCATGCACAGAGCAGAGGGCAAGGTGGCCGCAGGAAACCCTAGCATCTAGCATGTTTGTTCCTGGGTGTTGCCGGTGTTGGGCGCCTGGGCATGTCCCAAGTGTGCAGAAGCGGGACCGTTGGCATTGCCCAGGCTCCTTGGGCTTGCTTTTGGCTCGATGAGGTGTGTGCCCAAGCGTGAGGGAGCCAGGGACTTGGGGCTTGGGGGTGACGTGGGATGCTGTGCTTCGGAGCCCACCTCTTGGCCTGGACCACGCAGCACAAACACCCCCCACCCAGCTGGACCACAGCCAGCAGAGGTCTCAGGCTCCTTCTGCCAGCTTGCACCTGTAGGAGCAGTGGTGTCCCATGATGGCTGTCTCAGGCCCCGAATGGCATGGTTTGCCACTGCCACGCTGCTTTTCCTTGGGAGGCCAGGCCCTTGTGCCCAAGAGGGAGGCTGAGTGCTGGCGGTGGTGGTTCCTGTGCTCCCTGGGCCCTCAGTGATAGCGCTGAATTCAGCAGCGCTCAGCTGTCTTCCTTCTGGCCTCTCTGCTCAGGCTGGGCTCGGCCCCCCACGAACTGCCTGGAATATGCTACATGTATGACCGCCCAGGAGACCTGTCCTCCCCCTGGGCCGTGTACCAGTGGGCAGCCAGCGCGGGCATCATCTCCAGCCCGAACACCAGTGAGGATGCCCAGCCGTTTCACTGGGCAGAGGCCGTCGAGGGTGAGTCATGTGATGCAACTGCCACAGGGGGAGCTGGCCCTCAGTGCTGTTGGCACTCCTCTCCTGGCGCTGTTGCCCAAGCCCCGGAACACGTGTGAAGTTGCTGTGATCCCAGGCAGACCTGTGTGATGCTGCTGCTGTCTGGGAGTCGTACCCATGCTCCCCTCTTTGTCGCACAGCCAGCCCTTTACCCTGAGGTCCAGGGTGTGTGTCGTTGCGAAGGATGGCTGGACACAGTGGTGCTTGCATGGGCGCTCCAGGGCTGGGTTGCAACCTTGAGTACTGGGGCCAGCGTTTGCCTGAAGCCCTGGCTGCATGGAGGTGGAAGGGTCCTCCCATAGGTTAGGAAACCTAAGCTCCCAGTGTGCCTCAGGCCCCAGGGGCGGTGCACATGTGCTCCCCAAGGGCAGAGGGCTGCTTGCCGAGGCTGCGGATTCCTGGTGTGGGCAGCACCCGGCTCCCCATGCAGAGAGGGAGAGCTGGAGGGAGGGAGGGGAAAGCACATTGGGCTGGCAGAGACCATGCGTGCCAGGTCGGACAGCGTGCAGGCCTGCTGCCCACCCAGGTGGTGAGCGTGAGCTGAGGCCACGGCCCTCCACAGGGTGCTGACGGTGACACGCTGGGGACCCTCGCGTGCTTTGGTCTCACGGGAGTTCCCCTGCCCCTCCTTTGCAGTGGACAACACCGCCCTCTCTGAGGGCCCACCAACCCCCAATGATGACAAAGTTCCAGCAGCTGCCACAGGCTGGACCGAGGTGGACCCGGGGTAAGAGTGTGTTCGTGGCAGTGGCCATGGGACATGGCTGGCCAAGGCTGTGTTGAACGTGGGGTGTGTCTGTGCTGCCTGGGAAGGGCTGTGGGAGTGGGCTGTGAAAGGCTGGCCGTGTGCCAGGAAGGCCCCATTGTAGACGTGCACGGCACCTGTGGTGTCATGGGGCACCGCTGGTCTCCAGAGCCCTTGGCGGGCTGCCTCCCCGAGAGCCCCGTCCGTGGCCGTCAGCCATGGTCTTGAAGAGCCCTGGGGCCTTCCCTGTCTTGCCTGTGTCCCACAGGACCCGGGGATCGGGACCCCTTGTGGGGCGTCCTTGCTGTCACATCTCCATGCATGTGTTGTGTGCAAGTAGGCGGTGAAGCCCGTAGCAGTGTGTATGTTAGTGCCCGGGGAAGTGTGGGTGAAGGATGTCATTACGCGAGTAGCTGGTGTGGCCGGCATGTGTCCCATGCACAGAGCAGAGGGCAAGGTGGCCGCAGGAATCCCTAGCATGTCTGTTCCTGGGTGTTGCCGGTGTTGGGCGCCTGGGCATGTCCCGAGTGTGCAGAAGCGGGACCGTTGGCATTACCCAGGCTCCTTGGGCTTGCTTTTGGCTCGATGAGGTGTGTGCCCAAGCGTGAGGGAGCCAGGGACTTGGGGCTTGGGGGTGACGTGGGATGCTGTGCTTCGGAGCCCACCTCTTGGCCTGGACCACGCAGCACAAACACCCCCCACCCAGCTGGACCACAGCCAGCAGAGGTCTCAGGCTCCTTCTGCCAGCTTGCACCTGTAGGAGCAGTGGTGTCCCATGATGGCTGTCTCAGGCCCCGAATGGCATGGTTTGCCACTGCCACGCTGCTTTTCCTTGGGAGGCCAGGCCCTTGTGCCCAAGAGGGAGGCTGAGTGCTGGCGGTGGTGGTTCCTGTGCTCCCTGGGCCCTCAGTGATAGCGCTGAATTCAGCAGCGCTCAGCTGTCTTCCTTCTGGCCTCTCTGCTCAGGCTGGGCTCGGCCCCCCACGAACTGCCTGGAATATGCTACATGTATGACCGCCCAGGAGACCTGTCCTCCCCCTGGGCCGTGTACCAGTGGGCAGCCAGCGCGGGCATCATCTCCAGCCCGAACACCAGTGAGGATGCCCAGCCGTTTCACTGGGCAGAGGCCGTCGAGGGTGAGTCATGTGATGCAACTGCCACAGGGGGAGCTGGCCCTCAGTGCTGTTGGCACTCCTCTCCTGGCGCTGTTGCCCAAGCCCCGGAACACGTGTGAAGTTGCTGTGATCCCAGGCAGACCTGTGTGATGCTGCTGCTGTCTGGGAGTCGTACCCATGCTCCCCTCTTTGTCGCACAGCCAGCCCTTTACCCTGAGGTCCAGGGTGTGTGTCGTTGCGAAGGATGGCTGGACACAGTGGTGCTTGCATGGGCGCTCCAGGGCTGGGTTGCAACCTTGAGTACTGGGGCCAGCGTTTGCCTGAAGCCCTGGCTGCATGGAGGTGGAAGGGTCCTCCCATAGGTTAGGAAACCTAAGCTCCCAGTGTGCCTCAGGCCCCAGGGGCGGTGCACATGTGCTCCCCAAGGGCAGAGGGCTGCTTGCCGAGGCTGCGGATTCCTGGTGTGGGCAGCACCCGGCTCCCCATGCAGAGAGGGAGAGCTGGAGGGAGGGAGGGGAAAGCACATTGGGCTGGCAGAGACCATGCGTGCCAGGTCGGACAGCGTGCAGGCCTGCTGCCCACCCAGGTGGTGAGCGTGAGCTGAGGCCACGGCCCTCCACAGGGTGCTGACGGTGACACGCTGGGGACCCTCGCGTGCTTTGGTCTCACGGGAGTTCCCCTGCCCCTCCTTTGCAGTGGACAACACCGCCCTCTCTGAGGGCCCACCAACCCCCAATGATGACAAAGTTCCAGCAGCTGCCACAGGCTGGACCGAGGTGGACCCGGGGTAAGAGTGTGTTCGTGGCAGTGGCCATGGGACATGGCTGGCCAAGGCTGTGTTGAACGTGGGGTGTGTCTGTGCTGCCTGGGAAGGGCTGTGGGAGTGGGCTGTGAAAGGCTGGCCGTGTGCCAGGAAGGCCCCATTGTAGACGTGCACGGCACCTGTGGTGTCATGGGGCACCGCTGGTCTCCAGAGCCCTTGGCGGGCTGCCTCCCCGAGAGCCCCGTCCGTGGCCGTCAGCCATGGTCTTGAAGAGCCCTGGGGCCTTCCCTGTCTTGCCTGTGTCCCACAGGACCCGGGGATCGGGACCCCTTGTGGGGCGTCCTTGCTGTCACATCTCCATGCATGTGTTGTGTGCAAGTAGGCGGTGAAGCCCGTAGCAGTGTGTATGTTAGTGCCCGGGGAAGTGTGGGTGAAGGATGTCATTACGCGAGTAGCTGGTGTGGCCGGCATGTGTCCCATGCACAGAGCAGAGGGCAAGGTGGCCGCAGGAATCCCTAGCATCTAGCATGTTTGTTCCTGGGTGTTGCCAGTGTTGGGCGCCTGGGCATGTCCCGAGTGTGCAGAAGCGGGACCGTTGGCATTACCCAGGCTCCTTGGGCTTGCTTTTGGCTCGATGAGGTGTGTGCCCAAGCGTGAGGGAGCCAGGGACTTGGGGCTTGGGGGTGACGTGGGATGCTGTGCTTCGGAGCCCACCTCTTGGCCTGGACCACGCAGCACAAACACCCCCCACCCAGCTGGACCACAGCCAGCAGAGGTCTCAGGCTCCTTCTGCCAGCTTGCACCTGTAGGAGCAGTGGTGTCCCATGATGGCTGTCTCAGGCCCCGAATGGCATGGTTTGCCACTGCCACGCTGCTTTTCCTTGGGAGGCCAGGCCCTTGTGCCCAAGAGGGAGGCTGAGTGCTGGCGGTGGTGGTTCCTGTGCTCCCTGGGCCCTCAGTGATAGCGCTGAATTCAGCAGCGCTCAGCTGTCTTCCTTCTGGCCTCTCTGCTCAGGCTGGGCTCGGCCCCCCACGAACTGCCTGGAATATGCTACATGTATGACCGCCCAGGAGACCTGTCCTCCCCCTGGGCCGTGTACCAGTGGGCAGCCAGCGCGGGCATCATCTCCAGCCCGAACACCAGTGAGGATGCCCAGCCGTTTCACTGGGCAGAGGCCGTCGAGGGTGAGTCATGTGATGCAACTGCCACAGGGGGAGCTGGCCCTCAGTGCTGTTGGCACTCCTCTCCTGGCGCTGTTGCCCAAGCCCCGGAACACGTGTGAAGTTGCTGTGATCCCAGGCAGACCTGTGTGATGCTGCTGCTGTCTGGGAGTCGTACCCATGCTCCCCTCTTTGTCGCACAGCCAGCCCTTTACCCTGAGGTCCAGGGTGTGTGTCGTTGCGAAGGATGGCTGGACACAGTGGTGCTTGCATGGGCGCTCCAGGGCTGGGTTGCAACCTTGAGTACTGGGGCCAGCGTTTGCCTGAAGCCCTGGCTGCATGGAGGTGGAAGGGTCCTCCCATAGGTTAGGAAACCTAAGCTCCCAGTGTGCCTCAGGCCCCAGGGGCGGTGCACATGTGCTCCCCAAGGGCAGAGGGCTGCTTGCCGAGGCTGCGGATTCCTGGTGTGGGCAGCACCCGGCTCCCCATGCAGAGAGGGAGAGCTGGAGGGAGGGAGGGGAAAGCACATTGGGCTGGCAGAGACCATGCGTGCCAGGTCGGACAGCGTGCAGGCCTGCTGCCCACCCAGGTGGTGAGCGTGAGCTGAGGCCACGGCCCTCCACAGGGTGCTGACGGTGACACGCTGGGGACCCTCGCGTGCTTTGGTCTCACGGGAGTTCCCCTGCCCCTCCTTTGCAGTGGACAACACCGCCCTCTCTGAGGGCCCACCAACCCCCAATGATGACAAAGTTCCAGCAGCTGCCACAGGCTGGACCGAGGTGGACCCGGGGTAAGAGTGTGTTCGTGGCAGTGGCCATGGAACATGGCTGGCCAAGGCTGTGTTGAACGTGGGGTGTGTCTGTGCTGCCTGGGAAGGGCTGTGGGAGTGGGCTGTGAAAGGCTGGCCGTGTGCCAGGAAGGCCCCATTGTAGACGTGCACGGCACCTGTGGTGTCATGGGGCACCGCTGGTCTCCAGAGCCCTTGGCGGGCTGCCTCCCCGAGAGCCCCGTCCGTGGCCGTCAGCCATGGTCTTGAAGAGCCCTGGGGCCTTCCCTGTCTTGCCTGTGTCCCACAGGACCCGGGGATCGGGACCCCTTGTGGGGCGTCCTTGCTGTCACATCTCCATGCATGTGTTGTGTGCAAGTAGGCGGTGAAGCCCGTAGCAGTGTGTATGTTAGTGCCCGGGGAAGTGTGGGTGAAGGATGTCATTACGCGAGTAGCTGGTGTGGCCGGCATGTGTCCCATGCACAGAGCAGAGGGCAAGGTGGCCGCAGGAATCCCTAGCATCTAGCATGTTTGTTCCTGGGTGTTGCCAGTGTTGGGCGCCTGGGCATGTCCCGAGTGTGCAGAAGCGGGACCGTTGGCATTACCCAGGCTCCTTGGGCTTGCTTTTGGCTCGATGAGGTGTGTGCCCAAGCGTGAGGGAGCCAGGGACTTGGGGCTTGGGGGTGACGTGGGATGCTGTGCTTCGGAGCCCACCTCTTGGCCTGGACCACGCAGCACAAACACCCCCCACCCAGCTGGACCACAGCCAGCAGAGGTCTCAGGCTCCTTCTGCCAGCTTGCACCTGTAGGAGCAGTGGTGTCCCATGATGGCTGTCTCAGGTCCCGAATGGCATGGTTTGCCACTGCCACGCTGCTTTTCCTTGGGAGGCCAGGCCCTTGTGCCCAAGAGGGAGGCTGAGTGCTGGCGGTGGTGGTTCCTGTGCTCCCTGGGCCCTCAGTGATAGCGCTGAATTCAGCAGCGCTCAGCTGTCTTCCTTCTGGCCTCTCTGCTCAGGCTGGGCTCGGCCCCCCACGAACTGCCTGGAATATGCTACATGTATGACCGCCCAGGAGACCTGTCCTCCCCCTGGGCCGTGTACCAGTGGGCAGCCAGCGCGGGCATCATCTCCAGCCCGAACACCAGTGAGGATGCCCAGCCGTTTCACTGGGCAGAGGCCGTCGAGGGTGAGTCATGTGATGCAACTGCCACAGGGGGAGCTGGCCCTCAGTGCTGTTGGCACTCCTCTCCTGGCGCTGTTGCCCAAGCCCCGGAACACGTGTGAAGTTGCTGTGATCCCAGGCAGACCTGTGTGATGCTGCTGCTGTCTGGGAGTCGTACCCATGCTCCCCTCTTTGTCGCACAGCCAGCCCTTTACCCTGAGGTCCAGGGTGTGTGTCGTTGCGAAGGATGGCTGGACACAGTGGTGCTTGCATGGGCGCTCCAGGGCTGGGTTGCAACCTTGAGTACTGGGGCCAGCGTTTGCCTGAAGCCCTGGCTGCATGGAGGTGGAAGGGTCCTCCCATAGGTTAGGAAACCTAAGCTCCCAGTGTGCCTCAGGCCCCAGGGGCGGTGCACATGTGCTCCCCAAGGGCAGAGGGCTGCTTGCCGAGGCTGCGGATTCCTGGTGTGGGCAGCACCCGGCTCCCCATGCAGAGAGGGAGAGCTGGAGGGAGGGAGGGGAAAGCACATTGGGCTGGCAGAGACCATGCGTGCCAGGTCGGACAGCGTGCAGGCCTGCTGCCCACCCAGGTGGTGAGCGTGAGCTGAGGCCACGGCCCTCCACAGGGTGCTGACGGTGACACGCTGGGGACCCTCGCGTGCTTTGGTCTCACGGGAGTTCCCCTGCCCCTCCTTTGCAGTGGACAACACCGCCCTCTCTGAGGGCCCACCAACCCCCAATGATGACAAAGTTCCAGCAGCTGCCACAGGCTGGACCGAGGTGGACCCGGGGTAAGAGTGTGTTCGTGGCAGTGGCCATGGGACATGGCTGGCCAAGGCTGTGTTGAACGTGGGGTGTGTCTGTGCTGCCTGGGAAGGGCTGTGGGAGTGGGCTGTGAAAGGCTGGCCGTGTGCCAGGAAGGCCCCATTGTAGACGTGCACGGCACCTGTGGTGTCATGGGGCACCGCTGGTCTCCAGAGCCCTTGGCGGGCTGCCTCCCCGAGAGCCCCGTCCGTGGCCGTCAGCCATGGTCTTGAAGAGCCCTGGGGCCTTCCCTGTCTTGCCTGTGTCCCACAGGACCCGGGGATCGGGACCCCTTGTGGGGCGTCCTTGCTGTCACATCTCCATGCATGTGTTGTGTGCAAGTAGGCGGTGAAGCCCGTAGCAGTGTGTATGTTAGTGCCCGGGGAAGTGTGGGTGAAGGATGTCATTACGCGAGTAGCTGGTGTGGCCGGCATGTGTCCCATGCACAGAGCAGAGGGCAAGGTGGCCGCAGGAATCCCTAGCATCTAGCATGTTTGTTCCTGGGTGTTGCCGGTGTTGGGCGCCTGGGCATGTCCCGAGTGTGCAGAAGCGGGACCGTTGGCATTACCCAGGCTCCTTGGGCTTGCTTTTGGCTCGATGAGGTGTGTGCCCAAGCGTGAGGGAGCCAGGGACTTGGGGCTTGGGGGTGACGTGGGATGCTGTGCTTCGGAGCCCACCTCTTGGCCTGGACCACGCAGCACAAACACCCCCCACCCAGCTGGACCACAGCCAGCAGAGGTCTCAGGCTCCTTCTGCCAGCTTGCACCTGTAGGAGCAGTGGTGTCCCATGATGGCTGTCTCAGGTCCCGAATGGCATGGTTTGCCACTGCCACGCTGCTTTTCCTTGGGAGGCCAGGCCCTTGTGCCCAAGAGGGAGGCTGAGTGCTGGCGGTGGTGGTTCCTGTGCTCCCTGGGCCCTCAGTGATAGCGCTGAATTCAGCAGCGCTCAGCTGTCTTCCTTCTGGCCTCTCTGCTCAGGCTGGGCTCGGCCCCCCACGAACTGCCTGGAATATGCTACATGTATGACCGCCCAGGAGACCTGTCCTCCCCCTGGGCCGTGTACCAGTGGGCAGCCAGCGCGGGCATCATCTCCAGCCCGAACACCAGTGAGGATGCCCAGCCGTTTCACTGGGCAGAGGCCGTCGAGGGTGAGTCATGTGATGCAACTGCCACAGGGGGAGCTGGCCCTCAGTGCTGTTGGCACTCCTCTCCTGGCGCTGTTGCCCAAGCCCCGGAACACGTGTGAAGTTGCTGTGATCCCAGGCAGACCTGTGTGATGCTGCTGCTGTCTGGGAGTCGTACCCATGCTCCCCTCTTTGTCGCACAGCCAGCCCTTTACCCTGAGGTCCAGGGTGTGTGTCGTTGCGAAGGATGGCTGGACACAGTGGTGCTTGCATGGGCGCTCCAGGGCTGGGTTGCAACCTTGAGTACTGGGGCCAGCGTTTGCCTGAAGCCCTGGCTGCATGGAGGTGGAAGGGTCCTCCCATAGGTTAGGAAACCTAAGCTCCCAGTGTGCCTCAGGCCCCAGGGGCGGTGCACATGTGCTCCCCAAGGGCAGAGGGCTGCTTGCCGAGGCTGCGGATTCCTGGTGTGGGCAGCACCCGGCTCCCCATGCAGAGAGGGAGAGCTGGAGGGAGGGAGGGGAAAGCACATTGGGCTGGCAGAGACCATGCGTGCCAGGTCGGACAGCGTGCAGGCCTGCTGCCCACCCAGGTGGTGAGCGTGAGCTGAGGCCACGGCCCTCCACAGGGTGCTGACGGTGACACGCTGGGGACCCTCGCGTGCTTTGGTCTCACGGGAGTTCCCCTGCCCCTCCTTTGCAGTGGACAACACCGCCCTCTCTGAGGGCCCACCAACCCCCAATGATGACAAAGTTCCAGCAGCTGCCACAGGCTGGACCGAGGTGGACCCGGGGTAAGAGTGTGTTCGTGGCAGTGGCCATGGAACATGGCTGGCCAAGGCTGTGTTGAACGTGGGGTGTGTCTGTGCTGCCTGGGAAGGGCTGTGGGAGTGGGTTGTGAAAGGCTGGCCGTGTGCCAGGAAGGCCCCATTGTAGACGTGCACGGCACCTGTGGTGTCATGGGGCACCGCTGGTCTCCAGAGCCCTTGGCGGGCTGCCTCCCCGAGAGCCCCGTCCGTGGCCGTCAGCCATGGTCTTGAAGAGCCCTGGGGCCTTCCCTGTCTTGCCTGTGTCCCACAGGACCCGGGGATCGGGACCCCTTGTGGGGCGTCCTTGCTGTCACATCTCCATGCATGTGTTGTGTGCAAGTAGGCGGTGAAGCCCGTAGCAGTGTGTATGTTAGTGCCCGGGGAAGTGTGGGTGAAGGATGTCATTACGCGAGTAGCTGGTGTGGCCGGCATGTGTCCCATGCACAGAGCAGAGGGCAAGGTGGCCGCAGGATACCCTAGCATCTAGCATGTTTGTTCCTGGGTGTTGCCAGTGTTGGGCGCCTGGGCATGTCCCGAGTGTGCAGAAGCGGGACCGTTGGCATTACCCAGGCTCCTTGGGCTTGCTTTTGGCTCGATGAGGTGTGTGCCCAAGCGTGAGGGAGCCAGGGACTTGGGGCTTGGGGGTGACGTGGGATGCTGTGCTTCGGAGCCCACCTCTTGGCCTGGACCACGCAGCACAAACACCCCCCACCCAGCTGGACCACAGCCAGCAGAGGTCTCAGGCTCCTTCTGCCAGCTTGCACCTGTAGGAGCAGTGGTGTCCCATGATGGCTGTCTCAGGCCCCGAATGGCATGGTTTGCCACTGCCACGCTGCTTTTCCTTGGGAGGCCAGGCCCTTGTGCCCAAGAGGGAGGCTGAGTGCTGGCGGTGGTGGTTCCTGGGCACCTCGGGCACCCTGGCCACCAGCCATAGTGCTGAGTTCAGCAGCGCTCAGCTGTCTTCCTTCTTTCCTCTCTCCTCAGGTTGGGCTCTACTCCCTACGACCCTCCCGCAATATGCTACCTGTATCGTGGCCCAGGAGACCTGGCCCACTGGACATTGTACCAGTGGGCAGCCAGCATAGGTGTCATCCCTCGCGCAAACACCAGTGACAAGACACCGTTTTGCTGTTCATATACATGTGTTGGTGAGTCGTTTTAACTGAATTCCTTTCAGATTCTCATCCTCAAGTTTTACCGTTTCTCTGCTCTCTATGTGTCAGTTTTCCCACTGTTCCCTCCTCTTCGCACTTGGATTTCTATATTTCTTGTTGTATTGTGTCTTTTTTGAATGAGTGTAACTATATTCGGCATCTTTCTCTTCTTTTCCTCTGTTTCTTGATTTCTCTGTTTTTCACAATGTAATTGACTGTGTTTTTCACATCATGCTGCTGCTCTACTGAGTATGTCTGTTTTGTGCTGTTACCACCGCCTTGGCATTTCACGGTGTGGCATTGCTGTCTACCCATATCAGCCTCTCTGAATGTCTGCCCTGCTGCTAAATTCAGTTGGGTCATGATTTTGTTTGTTCTTTAGTTTTCTCTCACTGCTTTGTTTGTGCAATTTCATAATTTACAGCCACCCTGTTTTGCTGTTATTGCCCAGGCTCGTGGTTAACCCAAAACCCCTAGAGCCAAGCTAGATATCTTGTGCTTTCCTTGCTCACCCACCCTGGCAGTCGTGTCCCCCTTGTGCCCTGCCTTCACCTCTCTCCGTTGCAATGCCTGGCCACAAACCCGACTGTGATTGTAAGTTTTTCTCTGCATTCCAAGGCCTGATAGCTGAACCTCTAAGCCCCCTTGAGAGGTTTTGTGGATCAGCTTGTACCTCGGATAAGTGGTGTATTTTTTCCTTCATTTGTCGCCAACACCAGGCAACTGACCAGCCTTTGAGTGTTGGGGGTATGTTTTGGTACACCTGAATGTTACCATAAACCCAGTATGACGACTTTGGAATCTGAAGACTAGCAGAGTTCATGAGATTAGTCATGGTGCAGGGATTGTCCAGTTGTGGGTTTGACTATCACCAGCCAAAGTCACAAATATATCAGGGGATGATGAATGACAGATGGGATCTTTTTTCCTTGTTACATCTTGGCTTTGACCTTTCATTGTGTGCCTTCTTTTCTAGTCCTTGATACCTTGAGCAGCGAACTTAGGCAAGAAGGTGTGTGTCTAGAGAATGGAGTTGTATCTGCACACCTGGTGAGCACCCAGCGCAGGTAAGTGTGCCTGGGCCGCTGTGGCTGCTCCTCCGCTGTGCACATCTGTGAATGCAAGGTTCAGAGGTGATCGGATGTGTGTGTTATTTTATGGTGTGAGTGCTGTGCTCCCCCATGTGCCCTTCCCAGAGTGAACTCTAGTCCATCCCAGGGTCCTTTCCCAGCCCTTTCCCACATGTCTGCGAACTGCTGGCTCTTTAGTCTGCATAGAATGTGAGCCCCGATACCTCTACGTCTTCCCCTTCTTGGGACTCATGTCCTTTGTGGCCTGGACATGTTCCCCCACCTGGAACATTTCTGTCATGGATCCTGTGTTGGCTGCACAAAAATTGTCTGAGCCCTGTCTTCACCCCGGGCTGATCCTCTTCAGTGACCCTTTTTGATGTAGACTGAGTGTAGTCAGCAACCAGGGAGTGGTAGTGGTGAGGCCAAGGGGGGACGGGTAGTTGAGTTGCTCATTGATGTGTCTGAGTTCTCTGGCCAGACCTTGGGCTGGCTGCAGTGTAAAGCTGTTGGCTTGACTGGTAATCAGGACTTGGAACCTGTTCAGCCCCGTGTGTGCCCAGGACCTTGGTACTTCGGACATTGCAGCAGACCCTGGCCTTTGAGTTGCCTCATAGCTAACCACCTAGTCCTAGGTCACCTCATCTCCATAATGCCTACAAACCTTCCTATGTTCCTTCTGTGTGAAGCCGGTAGTGGGTCAGATGGTTTCCAGCTGGTGGGCTGGGTTTGGACCCTTTGAGCATGCTCTGTAAGTCCATGGTCATGGTTTGATATACAGGGAATCCTGGGGATCCAACCACAAAATACTGTCATCCTCAGTAACTCTTTTTCAATCTGTCCACAGCCTACAGAGCTCACAATTCCTCACTGAGGCTGCAATCTGGCCATTCGACACAGAACAAGCAGTGTATTATTGTGCCGTGCTGGCAGGCCCTGTGGACTTCACTTTGGGAATTCCCTGGGCTCCTGGCCAGGATTCTTGCCTGTACCATGAGAGGCCCCAGCGCTGGGCCTGTGCCATTGAAGGTGAGTCTTCCCCTGGGAAACTCTGAGCTTTCCATGAATGATCCTGGCAGCAGAACCAACACTGGTGCCTTGCTGCTGCTGCCTGCACTGGGTGCGTCTCAGCATCCAAAGTGGCTACATTGGCCAACCCAGGGACACCCCAGTTGGCCCGTGGCATTTAGGGTTGTACAGAGTGACAGCTGTTACCCCCATCTGTGGCCATCTCACACAGACCTGGCCCCTTATCCTGGACCCACATCGCACCTTGTCTGTTCACCCTTGTTGGGTCAGTGATGCTGCTGCTTCATCCTTAGCCCTGCAACCTGACTTGAACCTTGGGTATGCCTAGACCTACAGTCCCAATGCTGGTAGCTGGGATTCTGCCCATGCCCCTTCCCTCCTAGTCTTAGCAGCATGGCGATAGGGGTACACAGAGTAAATTGCGTTGAGTACTGGATGTTTGGCCCAGGTATTATTATGTCATGTTTTCCTCTACAAGAGAGAACCCTGACAGGTGGGAAGATGAAGGGAGTCCATGGCAGAGGAAAGGTGACTTGCCACCCATCTGGGCCCTGGGCATTAGGTCTGTGGGACTGAGCAGCAGATACCCACATGCAGAGGCTTGTGGCACCTGGTGTACAAGGAGCTTGGGTCTCCAGGTAGGGATGGAATGTTCCCCAGGTTGGCAGGAGCCTCGTGGCCAACCATTGCAGGTAGGTCTTCCATGGTGCATGGTTTTTACCCCACCAAGGCCTCCTGCCCGAGTCCAGGAGCCCTGTTTGGCCAGCTGGTCAATCGAGGGCTACCCTGTTGGATCAGCCAGCTATCCTCCTGGGTCCTAGTTTGGCCCTGAGTGCCCAGTCTATTTGACATGGGAGTCTGCTTATGCAATGCCCAATAGGGGGCCCTCTGATGGTTGGCAGAGACGTGAGTCTGGTCATGGAAGAAGGCTCTCTTGACAGTCACATACCAGGCCAGATCTAGGCCAGAGGGTGCAAAACAAATGGTGAGACCTTTGTTTCCATTTTTCTTCTTGTCCTGACCTTGCCGCATGTGTGCTTTTTGCAGCATCTGAACCCTGCAGTCCTAAGGCAGACAAGGAGGCAGAACAGGAAGGTGACACCTCGAGCGAAGCACTGCCTGATGAGGAGGTGGTTGCGGAGGAGGGGGACGTGTCTGGAGATTGTAGTGGTGTCCAACACGGGTAAGTGTGCAAGGGTGTCTGTGGCTGCCATCTAGATGTGCACTTCTGTATAGTTAGGGCTCACCAAAGGCAGGGATGTTCACGTTGAGATTGGTGTATTGGGTTAGGGTGTGATGTGGGTATTATTGTCATCCACCATGGGCCCAGGAGGTCCCTTTTCCCAGCTGAGGTCTAGGCTATTCCACAGCCTATCCCAGGTCACCCACATCTCTCAGAATCCCCTGCTCTCTAGCCTGGCATAGTGCCCTCCATGTCTCAGCCCTCCTCCTTGGACCATTGCCCCTGGTGGCCCAGGATGCATGTCCCCTCCTGTAGCATTTCTGACCTCACAGATTCTGTGTTGTCTCCATAACAAGAGGCTGAGTCCTGTCTCAGCCGCCAACCTTGTTTCCTCTACTTCAACCTGACAGGGCCTGGTCTGGACCCCGGGGCACTGTAGAGAGATCAAGGGGCTCTTCTCTGGTGTGCTGGTTTTGTTTTGTTTTGTTTTGTTGTTCTCCTGTGCGCTGTTAATGCTAGGGAGACCTTGCATCCGTCCTTAGTAACGTTCCTTCCCTTTGTCCCTCCACAGAACATCCCAGAAGACTGCCTTGAAGAAATCTGCTATCCCCTCCTGTGACATCTTTGTGAGGGGGCCTCACTGGCTCATGCTCACGGAAGCTTACTACCAGGATATTGATCCCCTGTCTGCGTGGCCCAGGGTCTTTAACACACATCAATATTTCTTTTCTGATGTGCTTCTTGGAAGTGAGTATTTCCTGACTAGTTCACTTACCTTCTCTTGATCTTTCAGGCAGATTCCAATAGCCATTGGCCCACGATATCCATGCCTCTCCTTTATGAATTCTCCCATTTCTCCAGGTAGAGCCAGTAGAAGCATCTCTGTGTATTGGGGATAGTGTAGGTTTGCCATGGTAGCTCCCTAGAGTGCCACTGCTTCCCTGGGTGCCCCTCAGACCCTGCCCATGGCATTGGCACTTGTGAGTCTTCTGAGGGATGTTTTCCTCTTTCCAGGTTTTGTCGTGAAGAACCATTGTCCGTCCTTTAGTGGAAGTGTAACTTCCTACCAGCTTTCGAAGTCTTCACTTCAGAAGGAGCCATCATGTAGCAGCCTCCACCCTCAGGGTGCTTCTATTGAGGAACCACCCAGTCAGACATGTGGTAGCAGAGGGTGGCTCTTATCATCCACCAGAATTTTATTTAAAGTGCTAACGATCATCTATGAAGGTAGGAACGGTCTGGCATACTGGAACGAGTGATGCGTGTATTGATTGTTGTGGTGTTGTGAATGAACAAGACTTTCTCCCTCATGTCCTCCCAGGGTCACATTGAATGTCCCATTGCTTTTATGTGGAGACATGGATGAGAACTTGGGATGAGGGACCAGATCTGCCCCTAGATCTTGGGTTTCCTTTCAAATATTTGTCGTTGAACACGTAATTTCCCTCTTAGTTGTCCTGCAAATATGTATCTGCATCTCATAAAATATGATACAACATCATACAAAGATCTATCCGTATCATGGATGGACTCTTCAGTGAGAGTGTTTGCAGGATGCCTGACTTAGAATTCTTCAGTAGCGTCTGTTTCCTCTTAGTAACTCAGACGGCAGTCTGAAGGAGCTCACATTGGCTCTAGCCTCTGCCACTACCGGCAGTCCCTTCAGACTCAGCTGTCAGCAGGACCTGACCAAGATTCTCATTGGATTTCTCTCTCTTTCCCTCTCAGGTCCCCAGAACAGTATGTGGTTCTAGTGGAAAAAGTCTGGATAACTTAATAAATTGGCTATGTTTCATCAACTATATCGATTATCTATTTTGTTGTCTATGTTGTTTATTGTGAAAAATGCATAGATGATTAACACAAGAATCTGGGTTTCAGGTTTTCTTCTGAAACCGGTAGGCCGGTTTGGTTTTATGCCCTGAGACATTCAAACAAGAAAGGCCATGACTCTATTGTGGCCCAGGGTCAAAATCTGGAAACATGAGAGTCGCCTCATCTTGGCTCAGTCCCCTTTGCTTTGCACACACCTGTCCTGCCACCCACACAGGGATCATCACTGCCTCCATGGGCAGCTGTGGCATTCCCTTGTGTGCTGCACAGCACCTCTAGAATCTCTCGGCCAGAGACCCTGGGTCCCTTGACCAAGAACTGGTGCTCACATTCAAGTAGCCATTTTGAACTTGTCCCCGTGACAGGAATCCCTCTGGTATGTAGGCGATAAACAGTAGCCCTGGTAGCTGCCTCCTCTACATAGGACACGGTCCTTACACGGCGCTGTCTTCTCTGTCATTCCTTTCAACTCATGTTCTGCTCCTTAACACGCTGCTTCAGATCCCAGATCAGCAGACTGATGGGGAGTGACATCACACCCCTCCCTTTGAGGTGGCATGTGGAATCGGTGCCCTAGTCTCACTCTATACCTATATTCAGATAACAGCTTCACAAAAAGTTCTCGAAGCTGCACATCATGAGTATAAATAAACAGCAAAGATGTTTTTGCAGGATTATCTTAGATATTGTAAAATTAGAAACTTTGCAGTGGAATAAAGACTCTTTGATTTTTGTGTATTTGAAACTAGAGGGGGAGATAATGTTCCGTCCACTGACTGGTCTGTCTGCCGACCTGATGTCTGAGCTCTAGATTTGACAGTTCTGTTCACATCTGTGGCATTTAGTATAGAGGAATGCCGACTGTGCAGTAAATGCCCGTTGGTGGGATGGTCTCTGCATTTACAGCCGTGCTAAGAATGCATGCACAGCAAAATCACACTGGTGG